TGTACCTCAATCGATCTTCACCCTACTCTCTTGTTAGCATTAGTTTCTCGGTTGAACGATATTCTCAGCAGGTGCATCCTCCACCTGTCGAGGTCCACAACAATGGCGCAACACATGTGTATAAACATCCAAACCGCATGATGCACACCCAAGACCACCTCCTATTCTTGCATAAGATGGGCACATACTCAACCTACATCGTACTGAGAGAGGAACTAGGCTCTTCAGCCTAACCAGGGTCTGATACCATGTAGGAATTCAGTTTTATTGAATTGAAATGAAACGAACTTCTAAGCTACTGATTTATACATAATAGGGTGTTGTTATCTTTGAGAAAGAGGAATAAAAAATGCTATCAAGTATTAATGAAATGTAGGTGGACATTATCCCACGTTATCTCATATTACCTGGTTTTGAATGCTAACAGTTGGGAGTTGGGACAATAGTGAGCTGGCTGGTCACATAATATTTGTAATCTTCAATTAGAACTTCATCGTAATCTTACACAATTTTTGCTAATCGCTGAAGGACGGATGATAGCCTCGTAGATTACTCCAGAATTGTACTTTTAGGAACACAGAAGCATTAAGTGAGTTATTATTACTGCCAGCTAGACATTGTGTATTAATTAATTCTGTAATCACTACGCCATACTGACAATACAATACAACAGAAAAGTGATTTAACGACAGTTTTCAGGAATGTTAGTGACGATTAAAATCGTTGCTAAATAATTTAATAAAGGACTGCTGACGTGGTTGACCCCATTGTGCTTAAATGCTTTTGCGACGCTTCTCGTCGACCGTCAGGGGAACCGTCGACAAAACATAACGATCGAAAATACTGTCGTTGTGGCAACTGTCCTGATGCGGCCTCAACAGTGGAAGAGCATGGAAAATGCCTGGTGGCAGACGCCAAATACCCGACCGAGTATTATAGATCCCTGACCAGTTATTGGGGCAGCGGCCTGTCTCTTTTAGGCAGAAGGCCCCCCGGGCGTGGAGGATAAATACCCGACAAGGTATTTTTAGGTTTAACCGGGTATTTTGACCTGTGTGACGGGAATTTGGGTTTTAAGTTGTGTTTGTTATTTTTAATTTTCCATACCTATATAAAGGGTGAAACTCGGGTTTTAGGGTAAGTTTTTAGCATAATAGTGATTTTTATCTTAGTTTTGAGCTTGATGCTTGTACTTTTTCCCTGTATCAATCAAGTTTTCCCTTTGATTGTGGTCGAGATTCTATCTTTTATATTGATTGAGTCTTCTCCCAAATTTTGTGGTTAGATCGCACTTTCAATTCCACCCTATCCTTGCAAACAAAAAACCCCTAAACTGACGTTCTATTGTTCGCTCTTGAAGCTCCGTACTTTGATAACTACGGGTACAGGCTACGTGCTCGTATCAGGTTGTACCAGAGCCCGGTTCAACATAGTGGCAGGATCTAAAGCGAGAGGACTTGTTGCTTGTTAAACGAGGTCCAAATATCCAATTGCAGAACGCAAAGAAGAGGAGGAATCGCTTTCTGAAGAAGAAACCCCAATCGGAGAACCAGTCTTGGGAGAGCATAGTCAGAACCTTGCAGATCAGAACCTTGCAGATGCTATGAAGCTTCTTGTCAAGCAGATGCCGCAAATGGGAGCCTTGCTTCAGGCCCAGCAGGACACTACCAAAGGTCAGCTGGTTGAGACGAATCAGAGACTGGATACCCTAATCACCAGGTTGGAGACGCAGCCAATGGGTAATCCACTACCACTAGAGAATCCAGCAGTTGTCGCAGCTCAAACTAGAGCCGCGGATCGAGAGGGTCCGAGAGTAGATTGAGTATACCAAGCATTTCCTAAGACCCCAGATTGGCAGATGCAGAGGTGCCAATACACGGAGCAACGTCGTCAGGTAATCCGGCAGAACAGACCTCCATTTAATGACTATGAGAATGATTATTATGAGTACGAAGGAAGGCCACCGAAAGCAGGAGGTTATGGCGTTGAACCAATTCGAGGGATTAAGCTCTCAATCCCCTCGTTTCAAGGCACTAATAGTGCATCAGCTTACCTCGACTGGAAGAGCAAGATGATTATGTTTTTTCCAGTGCAATCCTTACCAAGAGCATCAGAAAGTTATTGTAGCCCCCTATGAGTGTACAGATTATGCATTAGTTTGGTGGGAAAAGATTCAACAACGACAAAGGAGGAATTTGCAGCCTGAAGTTTCTACTTGGGCAGAACTCCGAGGCCTGATGTGTGATTTGTTTGTTCCTCCTTTCTATCAGAGAGATTGATGAATTGAATTGAAAACTTCAGTTTTATGCAAGTTGCGACTTGTTTTAGGTTTGGTGGATTCCAAACTTGCTGAGCTTTGTATCGATTGAATAGTCCCTTCAATCGTAGTCGAGCAACTACCCTTTAATGCAATTGAGCGTTCCCCGGGTGTGGAATCGTCCTTTTGGTTTCGTTTTATCCAAGTTCCAATTAAGAACGCTTCATTCCTGATTCGATTTCAATCGATTCGTCAATTGAATCGTTAGCTGCGCATTATGAATAAAAACACCCCCTAGGTGTTTATCTAGTGGTATCAAAGCTCCGGTTCAAATCAATGACACATGAGCTCAATTTTCGTGAACGAATGTCGACGCAAAAACTGGGACAATAGCCCCTGTTTCAGACAACGTTTGCTTCTGTTCCATACTCGACGTTAATGGCAAATTCAGTCGAGAAGAAGGAGTGTGTTGGAGGCAATGTAGACGCAACGATTGCTCGCTTTTTGCATGGGCTCAATAGGGAAATCAAGAATGAAGTGGAGCTTTGTCAGTTTGTGGAGTTGGAGGAAGCGGTGTTTTTGGCCATGAAGGTAGAGAGGCAACTGAAGGTGAGATCGAGAAGAAGGTACCAACTTTCACCCAAACCTGTTGCAGATAACCTTCCCGAGGCTAACATGAATCACCCTAAGCCAGAAGGTGACAAGCCAGCTGCAAGGAACACAACCCCAATTATTCAAGTTAGGAATGAAGGTTCACCTGGAAGCATCCAATGCTTCAAGTGCTTTGGTCGAGGTCACAAGTCTGACTAGTGCCCCAACAAGAAGACTCTGCGAGATGGAGAGTACTTTTATGAGGAGGAGTATGAAGAGAAGCCCATGGGGAATGGATTCAGTTCTGATGTTGATTCTGAGGATGATGATGTGGATGAACACATCAAAGATGAGAAACCTCCAACAGGTAAACTTCTTGGGGTGAACCCCCGAGCTTTATCTTTATAAGCTTACACAGAGACGAAGCAGAGGGATAATCTCTTTCAATCTCGTTTCCTGGTAGACATGAAGGTGTTGTCTGTGGTCACCAATGGTGGTAGCTGCACCAATGTGATTAGCCTGGATGCAGTCAAGAAGCTGGGATTAAGCACAATCAAGCATCCCCAACCATACACTCTGCGTTAGCCGAACGACTATGGGAACATCAAAGTCAACAAGCAGGCGAAAGTTTGTTTCCAAATTGGTGATTATGTGGATGAGATTTGGTGTGATGTTGGTCCAATGCAGGCTCCTCATCTCTTATTGAGTCATCCTAGGCAATTTGATTGAGGAGCTATTCATCATGGAAGGCACAACAGCTACCGGTTCAAGAGAGGCGAACGAAAGTTCCTGTTAAATCCATTGTCACCAGCTGAAGTCCGAGAAGATCAACAATAGTTGGCCATGAACTGGGCCAAGGAGAAAGAAAGTGCAAGTCGCTCGAAGACGGAGGACGGAAGTGGAGCGCATCTGATGGATCGAAGGAACATGTTGACTGCATTAAGGAGAAGTCCATTTGGAAATATTGTGGTCTCCTGCAGGAAAACGCCAGCTTTGAGGGCAAAGCTTTGCCAACGAGGAGGAACTGATGCGACCCCAGCAGCGGAAGGGTAGGGAAAATGCCTAGTGGCAGACACCTAATAACCGACCGGGTATTATGGCACCTCGGCCGGGTATTTTGGCAGCGGCCTGTCTCTTTTAGGCAAAAGGCCCCCGGAGCGTGGAGGATAAATACCCGACTGGGTATTTTTAGGTCTAACCGGGTATTTTGACCTCTGGGACGGGAATTTGGGTTTTAAGTTTATTTTGTTATTATTAATAGCCCAGACCTATATAAAGGGTGAAACTCGGGTTTTAGGGTTAGTTTTTAGCAGAACGGTGATTTTTATCTTGGTTTTGAGCTTGAGGCTTGAACTTTTTCTCTGTATCGATCAAGTTTTCCCCTTGATTATGGTCGAGATTCTATCTTTTATATTGAACCTTCTCCCAAATTGTGTGTTGAGATTGCACTTTTAATTCCACCCTATCCTTACAAACAAAAACCCCTAAACAGACGTTCTATTGTTCGTTCTTGAAGTTGCGTACTTTGATAGCTATCGGTAAAGGCTCCGTGCTCATATCATGTCGTTATTTTATTTTCATGACAAATAAAATTAAATATTGAGCAATAGTTCTTTATAATTGCTAAAACAACCAAACGTCACAAAATTAAATATTTCGCAATAGTTCGATATAGCTTCTATTTAAACAGCATTCAACCGGCATACTAAAACATAGATCAGATCTACCTATTCGAGCTTTTTATTGCTTCTTGTGAGATAGAAAATATTCAAGCAATCCTTCTGTTGAGCCTAATGATAGATCTCATTTTCTGTTGTCTCACATTTGCTTCTGATCCAGCATCTCTTCAAGACTTCTGTGAGGCAGATAGTAACAACCAAGGTGTGTACTACTTACCATACCATATATATAGACATGGTATACTCACTTATTTCTTATCATTGGGTTGGCTTGCTTAGCTTCTTGATTACAGCAAAATTGAACGGGTTCGCTTGCAAAAACCCTGCTTGGGTTCAGGAAAATGACTTCTCCTTCAGTGTACTACACAACCCTGGGAACACAGGCAATCCTTTTTAGTCAGCTGCCATCCCTGTCATAGTGGCTCAAATTTTAACGCTCAACAATTTGGGAATCTTAATGGTTTGGATTGGTTATGTTCCATGAGTTGTCGTTGTTCCTCATTACCACCCTAGAGCCACCGAAATTATCACAGTCATCGAGGGATCTCTTGAAGTTGGATTCATCATGTCAAATCCTGATAATCGCCTCATCTAAAAAACACTTGAGAAGGGGTGTTCCCAGTTGGACTAGTTCACTTCCAGCGGAATGTTGGCCACATGAATGCGGTGATAATTTCTGGTTTGAATAGCCAAAACCCAGGAGTTAGTACCATTGTCAATGTTGTGTTTTGCTCAAAGCCTGACATATCCACTGACATTCTCGCAAAGGCATTCCAGGTTGTCAAGAATATTGTGCAGCAAATCCAGGGGAAGTTATAGAAACTTTTGGGATATTAAGTGAAAGTTCGCCAATTATTTATTCATTTGCCATTTTATTGAATTTTCAATTAGCCAACTATACTTAGTGGTTTATTCGTTAATTTGTTGCTAAGAATTATTTCTTTAAAATGTTCTCATTCGTTCTAATAATAGCTTCATTTTCTTATCCTTGAGTTTATCAGCTAAGAAATTCTTCAATATCTTCAAATTTTGATTCCTTGAGTTTATCAACTAACCAATACTTCAATATCTTTAATACTAGCTTTGTACCCGACCAACGGCCAGGCCGGATGAATTTTATTTGATAATTTTTTAATTAGTAATGAATATTTTATTCCTAAGCATGAGACTATGCCACTTTTCATGAATACGCAACATTTATGTTAATTAAATTTTTATTATACTTAAAATTGAATATATTTTAGCACACATTTTTCAAAAATATTTCTCAGGTTTTGAGTGTGACCCAAATATAGATGTATGTGAGTATGACCAACATATATAATCAAAACTCTCAATACTTTATGAATGATTCTAAGTCTTGACTCCCGCTCTTCGTGGAGGTTTATTTTATTGGTTCTTATTATGCAATAATTCCCTTACACAATCTCGATGTTTGCCATGCAATAATCAGAATATTCAATAATTATTTTATATAATATACATCAACTAATAATTCATTATGTTTGGACTTACCTTTAAATAAGAATCTCGATGTTTGGACTAACCAATAGCCAAGATCAAATTTAATTATCTTATGCAATAAGTATGACAAATTTATGTTCCATATGAAATTGTTTGCGCTTGAACAATTAATTTATAATGCTCAAAAGTTCGATGGACAAACACTCTTATATTATTTAGATATCGGGGGACTAAAACAATATTTATAGATAATTTTTTCAGGATTGTTTACTGATCATTCATATACAAATTCCCCTTATACTCTCACGTCAATCCCAATATCCCACGAAACTTTTATCCATTCTAATTCGATCATGACTGGGGGAGCAAGTCAAACTAGAAAGTCTTAACATATGATAGAGCTCGGAGGATACCAATCCCAAGTGCCCCATCTCTATTGAGTTAGTCTTCAATTGCATTTGTTTCCTCCGTTGTGTTTTGAAATAATCTGATAGCATAAAATAAAAGAACACAAGACACGAATTTACGTGGTTCTTCTTATTCGGTGTGAATGAGTTTACTCCATGGAGAAGTTATGCTATCTCAGCTTATATTCTTAGTAGGCAGCCGATTACAAATATATATATATATATATATAACCCTATTAGACTAATCACCTAGGGTTATGCATAAGCTCCAGCCGAAGACAAAAGGACGCATATGTCCTTCGGCCCAACCCGACTACATACTGAACACTCCTTACACACCCCCACAAGCTGGATAGAAGCTCATGGAAACAATCACCAGCAAGCCCCTTTGTGAAAAGATCGGCCAGCTGTGCCTGGGAGAAGATCTTCCGAGGCAGAATTTCATTGGAGGCAATATGGTCTCGAATGAAATAACAATTCATCTCAACGTGCTTGGTGCGCTCATGAAAAATCGGGTTATCAGCTATGTGAAGCGTCACCTGATTGTCACAATATAGAACTGTGGGAGTCGTGGGACGAACACCAAGATCACAAAAGAGAGTGATGACTCGGTATTTGCACATGTTTTCCCCTTTGTTTCTTGATTGTTTGAGCTTTAATTACCGTTTCTTTGGCCTATTTTACGCTAGGTTGTGTTCCTTTGTCACATTTCAGGTCCTAGCACATAAAGTGAAGCATAGGCGCAAGTTTCAAGTCAATCAGAGATCAATTGGCGATTCAGGAGAAGAAACTCGGGCATGACCTGAAGAAGAATGGATTTCTACCTCACTTTATAGACAAAGAATCATGAAAGCTTGTCATGAAAAGAAAGAGGACGAGACTACGAGCGTCTGGGATCAAACGGCGACTGATTCGGAGTCCGGACGAGGGAGAAACGAAGCATTGAATATAGGGGAACAGGTTCGGCAGTAAAAACACGGGCGCGCCTAAATCAAAACACGACCGTGCCCATATTTAGGCACGACCGTGTTTTGGCCGACGCGCCCGAGCGTGTTTTTAACACGGGGCAAAACACGGGCGGGCAAAAGCAAAACACGGCCGTGCCCGCGACCGTGTTTTGCCCAGAATCGGGTTTTTTAACCCAAATTCGAGCCAAAGGAGAGGGAGAGCTGGGTTTTGGATCCCAAACACCCAAGGGACGAACCAAAGAGAGAGGGGGCGATTTGAGGGCATTCTTGGAGTGGAATTGGAGGATTTCTTCGCCTTGGAAGCTCGAGGAATAAGCCCGGACTTGAAGACTGATCATCTGAAGATTCTTACTGCAGTCTCTCTCTTCTCTATGGAGTAACTTCCCTTCACTTAGGTTTTGAGGAACCCTAGCTATGTTTGTTCGATTGAATGATTGTATGAGTACTCTGACTTGATAATCTTGAGTTCATATTCAATCTATGCATGTTTTCATGATTCAATTCTGCTTTAGTCGAGATTATTGATTATGCTTTGATCCTATGAGAGGGAATACCTGATTAGGTCAATAGAGCACCATAGATTGATAGTAGTGGATCGATTGCTTTAGTCGAGGATTGATTCACTGCTTTGTATCGATTGAGAACCTCATTCTATAGAGGGAATCTAGTTCAGAACGCCTTGATCGGTTGTTCTAGAGAAGGATACGTCCCTCTAGGCAATGGACTCAAGAGGGCCTTGTTGCTTTAGTCGAGACTCAAGGTCTAGTTAAGGATTCTCCGCATTGTGAATGAAAGTGAAACAGGTAAGAGATCATTAATCATTAATCTAGCTAGTGGCTAGGGGGAATCATACCTAAGTGAGTTCCCAACGTGTAATTAGATTAACATTAATTGTAGTTTGTTAGAGTAGTTTTAGTTCTTTCATCTTAATCTGGTTTGCTAGATAATGAACTGAAGCTGAGTAATAGTAACTCTAGAGACCCGTGGATTCGATATTTATTACTTGAGCCACTATACTGCAGTCCCTTTCATTGGTTACACTTGGCCATTGTTAGGAGTTGTGTCATAGCGAGTCAAGTTTTTGGCGCCGTTGCCGGGGACTTTCTAGATTATTAGGAAAGGCAGAAGTTTGTTACTTTAGCGTTTTTTCTTTTCTTTTCCACCCTTGCTTTTCACTTGGGTGTTTTAGTTTTTGTTGGTGCAGAGCTGAATCATGGATCCTCATGGCTTCTCCAACCATTGGGGGTATCCACCACCATCCGAGTGGTATTACCCCAAGACCCCCTGGAGCAATCAAGGAGGAGGAGACTATGGATTCGGATTCCAGTACCCACCCCCTTACTACGGAGAACAACTAGATCCCTGGGCATATCAAGAACAACCTCATTATCAAGAAGAATTCCTCCCACAACCAGAAGGGCCATCGGAGCTGGAGTTACCCATGGCGGCCTTCACGGGCCATTCTGCAGAGCCATGCTACACTCCACAGCCAGATCCGAACTATGAATTGAGGCTTCTCATGGAGCAGTTTGCTCGAGACAGCGAGAGATCATGTGTCAGGATGGATCTTTGTACCCAGGCCTTTCGTGAAACGGAGGAGATCCTCCTGAGCCTTAAGAAGAGCGTCGATGATCTTGAGCGATCTTGTGCACAACCTGCTCCAGATCACCCTTCTGCTACCATACTAGAAGATGAGGAAGAAGAAGAAGGCTACAAGGACATTGTGGAGCACACTGAAGTTGTCACGGAGAGCTCCCGTGATGATCATGATCAGGAATGTCCTGTTGTAGCCGACCACACCTTCCCACATCCCAAACTGAGCTTTGAAGAGGCGGGCATGAGTGAGGAGATGCAAGAAGATCTCATGAAAGAAATTGCTTGGCAACTTGCTCTCCAATCCGTGCTAGAAGAAGAAGAGCAAGAAAGGGTGCAGAAAGAAGTTGTGGAGGATGACGAAAGTGAAGAAGGAGGAGTTCTTGATCATTTCCCAGGGGTGATACCACATGAAGAAAGGGAGGTTGAAGAAGCAATTGGCGTCCAGGCTGAGGACGGAGTTAAGGTGGAAGAGGCTTGCACCGGCCATGAGTTGCAGGTAATATCCCCACCAAACTTCGAGGAACTGCTTAGCAAGGACCCATTTGCAGTGTCTCTTTGCCAGACCAAGGCCACATCGACATCGGTTCCCCTTGGTGGACGCGATGGTGGCCAATCGATGCTGTCATATCTGGTTTGGGGCAATGAGACGAGAGAAGAGAAGAAGAGGTCTCGAGGGTGGAGACTTCATCTGCATCAAGTGCACGAGCTTCCATCACCTGTCATACCACATGCTCTTGACTTGAGACTCCACCTCATTGACGAGAACCTCAACTTCAAGGAGGTTTTGGGGTGGACCGAAACTTAGGAGCCATCGTCCGGCTCACGACGTGAAAGAAGCGCTTGTTGGGAGGCAACCCAACCATTCGGTTTGCATTTCTTTCCCTATTACTCTTCGGTTGAGTCAGTTTTGTTCTTTGATTTTAGAGTCAATAACTCAACCTTTGTGAGATTTTGTGTGGTGTTTGTGTTCTGATTACTCTCTCCTCCTGGAATACATCGCCTGCCCCGTCCACCATCATTCACCCTTGATCTGGTAACTTCGTTCTACCCTCCTTATCTTTCCTCCATTGAGGACAATGTCGTGCTTAAGTGTGGGGGATGTTCGATTATGTATGCGTGTCAATGTTTGGCTGTTTGTGTGCTTGGAACCTAGTCCACTGTCCAAATTTCGATTTGAGGGCTCCAAGTACGTGTTTCCTTGCAAATTGCCTGCTCAGTATGCTTTGAATTGACAGTCTCTATAGTAATGTGCAA